GCAGGTTCTCTGTTCTGGCCATCTGGACTGAATTTTTGTCATGATCATTAGCTGTGAATTGCTCTCTTCCTCCGCCAATTACAAAATGACCAATCAGCTGACACTTGATTTGCAAGGTCAGTGACATTTGCATACAGAATTCCAACATCCCAGAAACCAACTCAGCCCAACAAGCTCCATCTAAAAATAACTATAAATTTTGACTGAACTGAGCTCTTCAAGCTGACTATCAGAGTGTATTCACTATAAATGTATTTAAAGTGCATCAAAACCCATATTACACTGCAGCCTGCCGGTCCATAGATTTGTTGGCTGCATTCGTTTTCTATTACAGGCCAAGTATATTTTTTGCAAGTTTCATACAATTTTGATTTGGGGTTTAGATCTGCTTTAAAGCTGTATATGAGATCTCCTGTATGCATCAAAATGTAAGAATCGGTACCATTGTCAGTGGTTTTGCTGCTCAGTTCCTCGTCATCATCACTGAACGCTGCCTCTGCGTTGTCGTAGCAGCTCTCTTCTTTATCAGCCATGCTGTTGTCCATCTCCATGGATGCAGGCTCCTCTACCTTTACTGAGAAAGAAAAACCATCATAGTATTGCATATGGGACACCTGCTACAATACAGGAGATGTTCGCATTGAGCAGGGCAGTGCTGACGGGTTTGTGGGAACACTACTACAAGAGGAGAACTCCTGGCCTTGAAACATTGGCACTTGATTCCCAGCTAACTACAGTATCAGAATGGGGTTTGTGAATCCTTCCCTTATCGGAGCAGATGTTCTCCGGGTGTTTTGGCTCCCTCAAACAATGAATGAGTTCAGCTATTTCCAGTGATGGCTACTGCTCATCATACAAAGACTCTTCCAACCTTGTGGTAACAGTTTGGTGAAGGCCCTTTTCTGTTCCACCATGACTGTGCCCCTGTGCACAAAGCCACCTCCTAAACCATGAACGGGCATCTCCATATTAATGGCCATGGTTTTACAATGGGATGTCCAACAAGATCATATAGGGGTGATGGTCAGGTGTCCACAGCCAGCTCATAGAGGTGTGATGGTCAGGTGTCCACAACCAGCTCATAGGTGTGATGGTCAGGGGTCCACAACCAGCTCATAGAGGTGTGATGGTCAGGGGTCCACAACCAACTCATATAGGGGTGATGGTCAGGGGCCCACAACCGGCTCATAGTCAGGTGTCTCTGATGGTCAGGTGTCCACAAGCAGCTCATATAGGTGTGATGGTCATGGTCAGGTGTTCACAACCAGTTCATATAGGAGTGATGGTCAGGTGCCCTAGACCAGCTCATACAGGTTTGATGGTCAGGTGTCCACAACCAGTTCATACAGGTGTGCTGGTCCGGTGTCCCCAGTCAGCTCATATAGGGGTGATGGTCATGGTCAGGTGTCCACAACCAGCTCATATAGGTGTGATGGTCAGGGGTCTGCATACATTTGGCCACACAATGTGTGTGAGATTATAACACAAGCTCTTTTGGGTAAGACCGATACAAAAATTATTTATGTACTGTGTAAAATGCTAAGTAATACTATAGTACAGGAAATGGGACATCCATCACCTACAATACATATGGACACGTCCTGCAGCTGGAAGCATTTATCCCATACTTTCTGGCACCATCACAAGTGCATTAAACATCTTTTGCAAAAGCAAAGTGAATATTTCTAGAATGATCTATAGTGATCTTTCATACAAAAGATGGTTTTGTGAAGTCTGGCAGGAAGTGTGTTATGTCTATGGAGAGCCTAAAAATGGCAAAGGCCACTGGTTAGCTCAGAAACAAATCCGATACACATCAACGTTTGGCAAGCGCTGCGGTTTCAAGGTGTGAAAACAATCAGGGAACAGGAGATGACATCTGGGACCTCTCTAATGGCCTTTTCTAGGAAGAACGGGAGCAGGACTATACAATGTTACATGGTCTCCAGTCACAGAGGGGCGGCGGAAGTCCCTGAAAAGCTTCAGACGTGGACTTAAGGTTGACTTTTGGCCTTCCCTTCAGTCTTGCAGAGTTGTACTGGCTCCTCTCCTCACAATGTGTATTAGAAGCTGCAGTAAGTTAGAGCCCGCCTCATCTCTTGGTTGTAGGATGTTCAGCATCATCTAACCCTTTCCTGCTGAAGTCCATGGCCTGGCCTTTCCATAAATTGGATTGTCAATCATGGAGGCTCAGTGCCACATGTGGCCGTTACCTAGGGTGGTCTGTATGCAAACACAGCATGCCTGGAACGTTGTCCCACTATGTATAGATTGCTCAATCACTATCTACAATTTCCCTGATT